TCATGATGCTGCCACCACCGTGCTTCACATCATGATGCTGCCACCACCGTGCTTCATCATGATGCTGCCACCACCGTGCTTCACTTCTCCAGATCGTGGTTTTTTACGTTGTTCTTCTGTAGAAAGTCTTACCTTGGACAGTTCTCATGCTGGAGTATTCCTCTCCTCCATCTTGTCAGCCAGTATTTGGTTTATCCACATCTATAAATGTCATCTCCCAACACCTTCTGCACTCAAGCAGCCTCATATCATCACACTTTATGGTCAGGTTCACACCAAACCTGCTGGACTCCAAACTTATCGTGTTCTCATCTGACCAACGAATGTGTTCTTAGTATCCATGAGGCTCCTCTCGGTGTTATTTAGGAAAGTTTTATCTTGCACTTTTGTGCCAATGTCTCCAGTACCGCATTTGTTTAACCTGCAGGGCCTCAAACACACAATGTGAACTTTCTGAGGGAAGTTTATTTGGTCGAAATCTCAAAATTCTAAACTCAACATGAAGAAAAATTAGGCTGGCAAGTCAGTTTCATTTGCTCACGACAACTAGAATTTGAATTCAGATGAGTTGATGCAACACTAGACATTTCTCATACGGGGTTAAACTTGTTTACTGTCTAATGAAAATACATCTTTGAGTTTCTGTTCACTATAAAACCTGCTTCATTTGTGTTTCGTCTTTGAGAATCTTGACGAACCTCGTTGTTCTCCATATTGTAGGCAACAATAGATTCATCAGTAACCCAACGAGGTGTTCTTTCAGGTTTAACAACTGCAGCAATTTTTGGTGACAGTCTTCACCGTTGTATGTTTGTCAAGGCTGCTGCAGGAGGTTTGCTAAGAAGTAAAACGTGCACCTTAGAACCTATTAGACCAACATGATGGGTACCACGGTGGAATCCTCACACACGTCAGAGCCTTCACTGAATAACGTAAAACTCATCCTCAGCTATTTTTCTTTTTTTTTAAACATTTGCTTCCTTTATAAATCCTTGTGCTGAAAATTGCGGCTCATCCAATTAGAGCGCTTCAGAAAAACACGGAGCAGATTGAACAAATGTTGGAGGGCCGTCGCTCCCGCTGTATGATAACAAGAGACAGAGGATCAAGACTCAATTTGTGCTCCGTCTCTTGAGGACCTCACAAATACCAGGCTTACCTAGACTTAAAGCAGATGACATCTTTAATTTGGTTTTGTGACAACAGCCCAACAAAAAAAAAAAAAAAAGGGGAAGCTTCAATTTGCGGTGAGATTTAAAGAGAAAATATTCAGCATTACCAGATAAAAGAACATTTAATTGCATTTCTCTTGAAAAGCGTCCGACCTTCTGTGAAATAAATGTTAAACTGTAATAAACAGAATATCCAGAATGTTTCCCTACAGATTAGAAAACAACATAAAACATTCTGTACCTGCAAGAAGTCCCGGGAGGATGGAGGATAACGCAAAGTCACTCTCATAAGCTTAAAATCCCAATAAAGACGGAGCAGAAAGTAGTAATAAATGCTGCATGCAGCACAGATTTAGTCCTGCCCAGTAAATTACATTTGAATGAATTGAATCAAAGTCTGCTCCAAATATTCTGACCAGTGGCAGAGAAACGGCATCAGGACTGGTTTCTAAAAAATATAGAGAAGTCCACGAGATCATCTCTGACCTCCTGTGTTCATGAAGATACTTCGTTTTAAGCAGCAGCCTGCAGCAAATGAAGGTAAAAAGTCCAATAATGCACAAAGGAAATACTGTTTGATGCCTTTTCTGTAAGTTTCTCTCCCTGACATTAATACAAATATCACTGATTTCTGATTAAACTGTTTTTAAATATCGATAACAGACACTGAATCCCATTTGCTCTCCTGACTGGCTGAACTCAAAATATCACATTTCCAGGAGAATACACGTTATTTCCAAAACATACTGTCGCTCATTATCACCTCTAAGATGCTGTTTAAAGATAAAAAAAACAAAAAACAGTGATATTTATGGTTCCAGTCAACAAATCCCATTAAAAAAACAAAAAAAACCCAACAGTTTGTCCTCCGATCCAACCTGCAGCTCACTGGTGACAGAACTCTTTAAAAACATGCAACAAAAAAAGTTTTAAAAACAACAGTTGCTGTAGATTGAAATGTGTTTTCATCTCTAACAACAATGTTTGGAATCAAAATAAATAGTTCATTTGCAAAAACAGATAACTCCATCTTCACAAACCTTCAGAAAACCCATTTTTAGTAGCATGAACACAAGGTTTTTTAAAGTCATAAAATTGAGTTGTTCCAACAAGTATTTCCACATTATTTAAAAGGGTTTTTTGTGTGTGTGTTACGTAACTAAATACTATAATCAGGAAGTTTTAAAGTTCCATCCATCCATTATCTCTACACCTTAATCCTCACCAGGGTCATGGGGGGCTGGAGTCTATCCCAGCTGACTCAGGGTGAAGGCAGGTTCACCTGGACAGGTAACCAGTCTATCACAGGGCTACACTTAGAGACAGACAACCAAGCACACTCACATTCACACCTACGGACAATTTACAATCACCAATTAACCTCAGCATGTTTCTGGACTGTGGGAGGAAGCCGGAGAACCCGGAGAGAACCCACGCTGCACGGGGAGAACATGGAGACTCCACGCAGAAAGATCCTGGGTGTCCACATGACCTTCTAGCTGCGAGGCGACCGATCCACCTTGCAGCCCAAGTTTTTAAGTCGACAAACGTGAAAAAACAAACTTGCTCTAATTAGATTTTCTTTAGTTCATGCAGCAGCTTTTAAGAAATGATTTCACTCAACGATAAACTTGTCGGTAACTATCATAAGTTTAATTTTAAACTGTTGTTGTGTGTTTGCACAATATTTAAAGTTTTAACAGCAATAACAAAACAATTATAGATTCCCAATGAAATTATAAATAAACATGAATAATCCTCTGCAGCCGAGCAGATTTGTCAAATGAAACGTCGTCATTTTTATCCACTATTTTGCTGAGCTGAGGGACAGAACGGCCACTTTCACTGTTAAATATGAGTCTTCATTCATGATGTTTTTGCTTTAGTGGAATTCATTAGCAAAAAACATTAACAGCCACTGCAGAATAAAGCATAGATGCTCAAAGTTGCTCTTTCGGCAGTACAGTGTTTATGACATTGACTCAAAATAAACAGACATATTGTGGATTATTTGCCTCCGATCCAATCGGAGTCATTTAATATGTGGTGTTTGCAGATGCTGAGTCCCAATCACAAACCACACTCAGGATAAAACACAGTTCAAATACACAGAATTTAAAATAAATAAAATAAATCCAGCATATACGCTTGAAAACCAAATAACTCTGCAATGCATAAAGAACAGAAAATACATCCAAACTGGTCCTTAATGTTCTGTAGGTGGTCTGTTGTGAAGCTGCAGTAGGACGCCGTCTACATGTAGTGTTAGAGGGTCGCTGGTACTCACTTCATACTGTACTCTCTACCACGGAGATTTAATCAGGTTCCCTCTACGTTTTCTTTTTCTAACTGTCTCAAGGAAATTTCGGTCCTTTCTAGAGTCTCCTCCAGAGTCTGCAGCCTTTACCTGAGTTGCCTGAACTCGCCGTGTCCAGGTGAGTGTTTACGTCGTACTAACTGATCGTATTGAACGCAGCTCTGTTAGAAATACTGGGATTGCAGATTTTACAGTGTTGGAATGCTTCAGTTTTCCAGCCTGAATATTTCCACACAGCAGACATTTAATATCCGGTAGTTTTTTTTTTTTTTTGCCAATTGAGGAGAAGAAGAAATAGCGACTGTTTGTTCTCCTCCGAGTTGTTTTCGCTTCTAATTTCGATTGTTCGCTTTGCAGCTCTGCAGAACCTGAAGACACAAAGCACAAAACAAGATTTATCTAAGTTAGCTAAATGCTAATGTTAGCATGCTAACATGTGCACAGCGACAACAGTAACATGCTAACGTTGAGCAGACGTGATGTTCAGCATGCTAGCCCTCTTACCATCTGCAAAATCCTGTGATTAGTTCCGCAGATATCTGCATTGCTCAAAATGAAAGAGGAAATAAACTGAGGGTTTACCAAAGTTATCAGAGTTCATCCTGAGGGGAGCATGAACATCTGCGTCAGGTTTCATTGCAACAGTCACTGCGACGTTTCACTAAAAACCATAAATACAAACCTGCTGGTGGCGCTAAAATAGCTGATGAAGTCACTGAGATTCATCCTCTGAGGAACATGAATGTCTGCTCCAAGTTTCATTTCAATCCATCCAATAGCTGCTGCTGCATTCAGCTCGAAACCATAAACGTGAACCTGTTGGTTGCATTTAAAGGGAAGTCAAAAGTCACTTAAGTCATTAAGATTCATCCTCTGAGGAACACGAACGTCTGAACCAAGTTTCATTGCAATACATCCAATAGTTGTTGCAGCATTTCCATTAAAAACCATAAATATAAACCAGTTGGTGGTTCTGAAGCAGTCTGTTAAGTCACTGAGATTCATCCTCTGAGGAACACGAATGTCTGCACCGAGTTCCAGTGCAATCCATGCAACAGCTGGCTCAAAACCATAAACGTGAACCTGCTGGTGCCGTTAAAAGGAAGGTCAAGAGTCACTTAAGCCACTGAGATTCATCCTCAGAGGAACACGAATGTCTGCACCAAATTCTGTTGCAGTTCATCCAACAGTCATCGCTGCATTTCGTTCAAAACCATAAATATGAACTTACTGGTGGCGTTAAAGGGGAAATCAAAAGTCACTTAATCCACTGAGATTCATCCTCTGAGGGGCACGAATGTCTGCAAGATGCTTCGTGGCTTTTTGAGAGTCAGGAGTAGGTGAATTGGCCCACAGATGGATGTCACAATGTGCAAAACTCTGATAGTGAAAGTGACACAGCTCAGATCCAAAGAGACTGAAGAAGATTCATGACTCCAGATGTTAAACCTTAAAATGACAAACGAGGTCCCATCTACTCGATAAACCGAGTCCAGTTGGAAGCGAGCGTCTCCATCGCAGACTGACGGCTGGAATCCTGTTTGTGAAAAAATCTCAACACCACGATCAGCATCCAGAACCAGAACCGACTCCTTCACGATGCTCAGAACCCGGGCTCAGTCTGCTCACCTCTCGCTCCAGCTTCTCCCTCAGTTTGGGGAACCCGGGTCTCCGGCGGGGCTCCTGCTCCCAGCAGAGCCTCATGAGGAGGTAAACGCCGGGCGGACATTCCTCCGGAGCCTCCATCCGATATCCCGCCTCCACTTTGTCCTTCACCTCCTTCAGAGACTGCAGCAGAGCGGCGACATGGAGGAGGACAGGGGTGAGGCACAAACGTAAAATCTGAACTCTCATGAAGTCCAACAGGTTTGGTTTTGTTGGGATACAACATCAATCTAAAGTCAGACGTAAGTATTTTATTGCACATTTTGATTATATGTGCAACTTTTCACTTTTATGTAAAGCACTGTATTTTGTTTTTATCTTATTTTATCTTATTTATTTCATTTCAGTTTTATATCATATTTATATCTTATTGCTTTTCTACTTTTTAGACAAGAATTTCCTTCAAGATTAATACATTTTTATCTTAAGTTGAATATTTTATTGCTCACAATGAAAGTTTAACCCCAGAGGAAATAAACTGAAGGTTTACCAAAGAATTCATCCTGAGGGGAGCATGAACGTCTGCACCAAGTTTAATTGTAATCCATCCAACAGTTATCGCTGCATTTAGTTCAAAACCATTAAAGGAACCCTGTTGGTGGCACTAAAACAGTCACTTAAGTCACTGAGATTCATCCTCTGAGGAACACGAATATCTGCACCAACTGATCCATCCGATTTTTATTATGAATAAAGTTTTATTCTATTAATAAGGTTCGGACCAGATTAATACAGTTTTATCTTGTCTTAAGCCAGATATTTGTATTGCTCACAATGAACATTTAACCCCAGAGGAAATAAACTGAAGGTTTATCAAAGTTATCAGAATTCATCCTGAGGGGAGCATGAACGTCTGCACCAAGTTTCATTGTAATCCATCCAACAGTTATCGCTGCATTTAGTTCAAAACCATTAGTGTGACCCTGTTGGTGGCACTAAAACAGTCACTTAAGTCACTGAGATTCATCCTCTGAGGAACACAAATGTCTGCACCAAGTTTCATTGTAATTCATCCAACAGTTACTTCGTTTAAAATCATTAGTGTGACCCTGTTGGTGGCGCTACAACAGTCTCTAAAGTCACTGAGATTCATCCACTGAGGAACACGAATATCTGCACCAACTGATCTATCTGACTTTTATGATGAATAAAGTTTTATTCTATCAACAAGGTTTGGACCAGATTTATACAGTTTTATCTTGTCTTAAGCCAGATATTTGTATTGCTCACAATGACAGTTTAACCCCAGAGGACGTAAATTAGGGGTTTACCAAAGTTATCAGAATTCATCCTGAGGGGAGCATGAACGTCTACACCAAGTTTCAGTGTAATCCATCCAACAGTTATCGCTGCATTTAGTTCAGAACCATTAGTGTGACCCTGTTGGTGCTAAAACAGTCCATTAAGTCACTGAGATTCATCCTCTGAGGAACCCGAATGTCTACAACAAGTTTCATTGTCATCCATCCAACGTTTATTATGAATAAAACTTTACTCTATTAATAAAGTTTGGATCGTGTTAGTCTTATATTATCTCGCTGGCACACAAGTGTTACGATACTTTGGCTCAGTTTTTATACATTTTCAATAAAACAAAGTTCTGTACAAAATCTCAAACAGTTTAAAAAATGAGGTAACTTTACCAGAAGAAGACAGATCCTAACACCACTGATGAATCTACATAACTGAGTATAAAGTAGATCAGCTGGCTGCAGCCCGACCTGCTAGGATGCTGCTTTCAAGCTGTAGCACCAGAATAAACAGTCCAGTGGTTTAATATCAGACACAGCTGAAATGTACTGAACTGCATGTGCGTTAAACGGGCTGTAATTAGCAGCTAATCATTTAAAAGGACACCACCCGAGGCAGGGAGCAGGACAGACATCGGTGCCGTGCAGAACGAGCCGCTCTTCAACTTAAAGCTGCCTGATCCCGTTGATCCCGGAGTCTGAACTCGGCCGCTGGCAACGACACAAACCAGATTTACTGAGAAGCTCCAGAGCGACAAACAGGTTCAGATTCACCCTCACAGACCCGTTTGGTAACCACGACTCAGAAACGCTCCACGGGCCGCCATGTTCTGGTCGTTTACATGTTAATTATGAGCTGGTGTAATTGTTGTTGTGTCTTTGTTTGTGATTAAATTAATTAGTTTAGTGATTAAAACAACATTTAGCTTTTATTTTAGGTCAGTAGGTTAAATTAAACACTGATTAACTTCCAGTTTATTAAATACAGAACAAAGTCCAGGTAACGAGCTGCCAGAACTCCTTCTGTTATTTTATAGATTTATTTATAATTTGCAGTTTAGGAAAATGACTGGATTTTTTTGTTGTTGTTTTCTTTGCTATAATTATTAATATTGTTAGTGTTTTTAATATTATGGTGTTGTTTTTGTCTTTTTTATTTTTATTTTATTTTTTTTTATTTACTATAGATACATACAATAAAATACCCAAAATGTTGTATTTTTCACTATAGATACAATATTAAATAATAGCAAGTATGCATTTAAAAAAAAAATTATAATTACATATTTACCAGGAAATAAGAGAAAAATATCCTGTTTTTTTTAAATGTTATTTTTGTAATGCTAGTATTATTATTATTGTTATTTTTATTTATTTATTTATTTTTACTACAGATGCATTAATAAAACACCAAAAATGTTGTATTTTTCACTGGATAAATATATATATTTTTTTATCACCAATTTACCATTAAATAGAAGATTTTCTCCACAATAAATGTGAAGCGTTGAAGCGACACATCCAGTGGACGCACATCATCACTGCCTGATCCTTTAAATCTTTAAATATTCAGCAAAATTTGACATTTTAACCGTGTAGGTTGCTTCCTGGAAGTTGTTGTTAGAGTGGATTTTGAAAACAGTAGATAGCGGAAAAAACTGAGAAATTTGCATGAAATGTGCAGCCAATAGCCAATATTGGTGACAAATTGATGAGAAAATTAAAGTTTGTGGGTACAAAATACACAGCTGAGACTTAAATTTGATCACAGAGGCATTTATAAGCCAGTCAAGATGATTTTTGGGGGGATTTTCGGGAACATAAACCAGTAAAGAGCGTTTTAAGGTCTCTGATTGTGAAATGAAAGGAAGCGTATTAATGAGAATACGGTCCAGATCTCACATTGACGTTCAACTGACGTCATTTCCTAACGTTCTGCTCTTCTGGGTCTGTCTCGCCCGTTTACGCCCACCTGCTTTAAAACCCACATCCCAGGTGATGATCACCTTCCTGTTCCTCCAGCTGCATGTTCGTCAGTGAATTAACGAACCTCCGGAGAACAATGAGATTATTCAGCAGCAGCAGCACAGGGCCTATTGTGAGCTCCTGTCTGCTAAACCTCCATCCTCACGGCTTCCTGCTCTGTGACGCTGATCCACTGACGAATCTGAACGCCGTCCTGGCAGCTTTTCCACTGACACACCTACCGCCTGACACGCCGCTAAATCCTGGCGTGACACGGTGACACGGTTACGTAACACCGACACCTTTCACGCAGGAAAACGACGAGTCGCATTTTGCAGAGGCCACATGCTGTGACCTCAATAAACATCGTATTTGCTGAGAATTAGACGTCGGCTGGTCGCCTGACAAACAAACACTCGACACATAACAAACCACCCTAACCGCAGCTTTTACACTGTAGAGTTTGTTGGCTAAAAGAGATTTAAAGTACGAATTAGTGAGTTGGATGGAGTCCCAGCATGTTTCCTCCTGTTCCTTATGCTAAGCTAAGCTAACTAGCTGCTGACTGTAGCTTCATATTTATCAAATGTGATTAAGACTGGTCTCAATCTTCTAATCTAACTCCTATAAGAAGCAAAATGAGTGCATTGGTGCAAAAAAATCAACCAAATTTGAAAAAAGTTCCAACCTGACCTCCTCAGAATCAGCTGGTTTTTAATGTGCAGTAACTTTAGTTTATTTAATGAAGCCGTGCAACATTTAAACTTCATATTATGAATGTGTTCAGAGTTACAGGCCCTCCAAGTGCATAAAGTTGGGCTAAAAGGTCAGTATTTTTTAATTTGCGTTACGTTTTTCCATCATTTCTGAGCCTCATGACTTCATCAGTGCAGCAGACAAACACACTTTTGAGTTCTGTCACCATAACCAACTATAACCAGCTTTAAGCATCAGTATTATGGGATGTATCATCGTGTGAACAGTCAAACTGCAGCAGTTTAATGACATAGAGTCACAGAAACAATCATCGGTATCCTGGATGTGTTTCTGTTTTCTCATAATTCACCAGAGAAAACTTTAACAAGTGCATTCTGGGTAAACGTTCAAGGCTCATGTGTGATGGTGGTTGGTCAGAACAAGTTCTAGATAATGAAAGGATCATTTAAATCCACATTTGACACCAGGATCATCTTCTAGACACGATTCCTTCAGGGTCAAAATAACTAATATACTCATGTTTTGACGTATTACTCCAGGAATTAAAACCAAAGAGCTCCATAATAAACACAAGTGTTGATACTGAGGTTACACGTCGTCACCGTTTGCATGATTTCACTGATTATACTGAAGTTATTGTGAACTGTAAACACACACTGATGCCGCCGTGCTGGAGCTACGTACCATCTTAGGATACGGCTGTCGACCGTATGAGAAGATCTCCCAGAGAAGAACGCCGTAACTCCAAACGTCTGACTTGGTGGAGAACTTCTGCATGAAGGGAACAAATGAAGAACCTCCTATTGATAGTGCATACTCTGTAAAGTTGTTATAAATCCAGGAGTCTGACCCTGAGCATCATCAGGGACTCCTCACACCTTCTCCATGAATTGTCTGAACTGCTGCCATCAGGAAAACGTTTACCTGTGGATGATCTGATGTGGATTTGTTTTAAACGCAGGTAAAGGAAACGTGACCACAGCAGCTTCTCAAACTGACCTCCTTCTTCAGGGCTTCCGGCGCCGTCCATTTGATCGGCAGCTTGGCCTTATCCGACGTCTTGGAGTCGACCTTGGTGAGCCCGAAGTCGCTGACTTTGGCCACGCTGTCGTCAGAAACCAGGACGTTGCGAGCCGCCAGGTCTCTGTGGACCAGCTTCTTGGACTCCAGGTACTCCATCCCTTCACACACGTCACTGAGCGCACGGGTTTCATCAGAATCACACAGAATCATGTAAACAGACCCGAACGGAAACAGTAAAGTCATCTAGAAACTCACAGAGAGAATCGGATCAGCTGAGCGGAGTTCACCACCGACCGTCCTCTGGTCCGGAGGAAGTTCACAAGGTTCCCCTGAAACACCCACAAATCAGAAAGCTAAGTATTTATAAAACATCACCTGTAGCATCATCTCACTCAAAAAACCCAGAAAATTTGATTTACTAGAAGAGAAAAGTTAAATCTCCAAGTGGCAACAAGACATTTTAAGGCTTGATTTTTAAATTAAAACCTCCCAGAATCAAAGTAAAGTTAATTTTGTGAAACTAATAAATGATGAAAAAGTCGCCAACAAAGCAGATTTAAGTTCTTCTGTGTAAATCCTGCATCAATCTCACTCTGTTCACACGTTTATTCTGTTTGTTTTGTCACTTTACACGTACATTTATCTAATTAACCATCATTTACTGCTTATTCTGTTTATACGCTTAAACAGGAAACGTTCCCACAACGTTGGCTGAAGTTCCCGTAATGTTTTACAGCTTTAATCTAACGTTCAAATAACAAATATTTATCATTTCCAACAATGTTCCTGTGAAGTTTCAGCTGCAACGTTTAGAGAACGTTCGGTTGACGGTGCCCAGATTACGTTCCACG